TCTGCTCAAGCGTAAGCCAGGTCTCTCACGAGCGGGACAAATCATCGGCTCGCCAAGCAATTCCAGTCATTCCAGCAAGCTCGATCCCAACATCGCCTCGTGCCGAGCTGGTGTGTCACTCTAACCCGTCCCGGACTCTCGACTGGCGACAGCGCAGACGCCTCTCTACGTGGACTGGTCAGCGCGTGCCTCTCTCGCAGTCGAGCATCTCTTTGCTCACCTACGGATCTTCCAGTACTCCGCCCCGGGCGCCGGCACAAACAAGATGACGCATAGGACGAAGACAACAGCCCACGCCCGCCGCCACCACGGCCTCGCAGGCTTCCTTGGCGATCTAGCTACATCTTGCTCAAAATCGTCGTCTGAAGAGCGCAAACGTAGACACCCGCAATCACAGCCGGCGAGGTAAGTAGAGCAAGGACACGAGCCGTACACCGAGTCGCCAGGATCGCTGTGCTCGCTACTCGAACCGATGACCGTCGGAGGAGAAGCGGTGCTGGGTCTCGGCGGTGTGGAATGAGAGGCTCGCGGCACGCGGCTCATGCCGTCTTCCCGGGCCGTTACGTCGTCGTCGGAAGTCTTCACGTCGTTGCCGGGGTCCATGAAGTCAGAGACGTACGCCGAGAAGATACCACGAGCTGCTATTCTTCGCAAGATGGGGCTATAGTCAAAGTCCTCGCTGTCGGTCTCGTCGCTGTCTGACACGATGAATGACGACAGAGACCCGCGGGAGGGACTTTGTTGGTCCGCAAAGGGCTCGCTTGTATCTGCATTTCAAAACGTCAGTCGCACGATTCTGAAGCACCCGGGAAGAAGGGGGAGGCCATACCGAAGAGCGGCTCGTTGGTCACGGTCCACTTGTTGTGAAAATCGTAGCTGCCCTCTGGGAGTGCAGCTTTGCCCGAGAAAGATGCTTCGGAACCTTGTGTATGCACAGAAGAACCAGCGACTGAGCCATTTTGGCTGTCGTCGCTTTGGCTGACGAAGTCATCATAGTCTTCGAATTGAAGTGCTTGCGTTTGGGGTGGTGCTCGAGTGCGTTCCGTCATCGTCCAAGCTGGGTTCATCGTTCGGTGGTGTGTATCGATTGTGCGTACCTCAGGAGATTTTGAATCTTTAGAGATTTCATTTGATTTCATTCGAAAGGTTTTTAGACTGGCCAGACATGAGTATTAGAGTAAATGTCGCCTCGGAGAACCCCGAGTCCGCTATTCTCAATGGATGCGCCGTATGCCTCCTTACCTTGGGTACGCGTCAAAGAAACAAAGATGCTTGATTGTTGCAATCCATGATAACACGAGTCTCTAGCCATGGCATTTGTGCTCTTTGTTCCTCGTGTCCGAGCCCACACGAATCCCATTCTGTAACTGCCTACTCAAACCTAGCGATCAAGTCAAGATACCTCTAACTATGACGACGTTACTTCACCAGATCAAGATGGGATCAGAAATGCAACAGACGATCTTTATTACCATTGTCCCGAAACAAAGAAAGACTAAGCATGACCTGCCCCGAAACGCATTCTGCCTGCCATTCTATTCTTCCTCCTCTCCAGATAGGCAGCACGGCTCTGCGCAAGCGTGTGACCCAGATAGCGAACCCCTTTTCTGACTTGTATTCCTGTGTTGGCCTGTGCGCTTTGAGTTGCAGCCATCACTGCCGCAGTCCACCCAGCACGCCCAGCACTGCCTCGCCGTGCCGCCGGAATGTCACCCACAAAGGTAGAAACGCTGCCGAGCTGTGGCTCAAACAGAGGACCACCGATGGCGACACGCTGGGCCGTCGTGCGGAAGCTGCCATCGTCCAGCCACGTGCCGCGGCCCACCCAGTTCATCTCATCAACCGCGCGAAGCCGCAACTTCCTCAATGGCAACGGCAAACCATTGCGCGTAGTGTTTGTTAGTTGCGAATCTGAGAGTCCCTGCGGAGGAGGAGCCGCCCGTGGCTCGTAATTTGCGCCGAGGAGCGGATCCCATACGCCCCAATCCTGCGGGTGCCGCGGAACCGCAGCCAGTGAGGCCCAGTTCAGTCGAGGCTCTCCGGAACCCAGCGTGTTGGCGGGGTCAAAATAGTCTGCGTCTACGATTGAGACAGTCGGTTCTAGTTGCTTGAGGGGCAACTCCTCGTCACAAGCGTGGCATTGCACCTTGGGCCGGCCATTAGCCGTCTGTGACTTCCAAAAACCCAGCCAACACTTGATGCAAAAAACATGCCGACCCTGACATTTGACGCGAACAGCAATGCTACCTTCCCTGTAGTTTTCTGAGTGTTCGGCGGCTTTCTGGTCGAGATATGTCCGGTCGTGGGCAACAAGCTTGTCTTTGCAAAGCAGGCATACAATGCTGTTGTCGGCATCGAGCTCTTGCTTGAAAACCGCTTCGGCTATCGTTCCTTGGATTGCCTCGTCAAACATAAGTTCATCCGTAAATCGAATACTCCGCTTCTGTTTCAGGGCGAGGACGAGATTTCGAAAGCGGTCAGGGTCGAGCAGAGCATTCCCGCCACGCTGGTGGCCATCGAAGAATGTTCCTAGTTGAAGCAGAGCCAGCATGGCGGGCCCGTAGCTCTCAATGACGGAAGGTCCGGTGAAAAAGACATCCATAGGCCGCAAGAGGTTCATTAAGTTCAGAAAGATCTTTTGGACCTGTCGCCTAGGCAGCCCGTTGTCTTCGGATAGTAGAACGGCCACAGTCGAGAGGACCTCGATACGCTGTGCAAGGCCGCATGTACTCGAGCCTCCTTCGCCCTTGTGAATAATGTCCCAGTTGTCCTCGCTCTCAAAACTCTGAACGGCATCGTCGATGCGTGCAAAGAGCTCTTCTGGCGTGCATGTGTGCTCGTCACAGATCCAGTCTGCAATCGGCAAGACGGGGACCCCGTTGAATGGGTAGGCTGCTTGGATAGGAGGGTGTTTGTCTTGATAGTCGCGCTTGAGCGCTCTGCGTGTGGAGGCAGCTGTTGGTAGTGGTGCCACCTGTGCATACGTCTCCAAGACGACCTCGTCATCAGCTATGGCGCGACGAGCGGAGCGGCAGCGGATGGCGTGGCTCGTATTCCTCAGCTCGGGCGCTGTGTTGGACTCTTGACAGTCACAAACTCGAGCCGTGTCAAAATGTTGCGGATCAAAAACGCAGGCCGATTCGACGTTGCAGACTTTCCAACGTTCGACGAGATCAGCAAAATTGTACGTCACGTTACCCTTGGAGAACATGGCAAGCAGGTATTCGCATAGTTTGGTCGTGTAGGCATCAGCAGCGGCATCCAGCCAGCGCGTAACGGCGTTGCCTCTGTTATTGTCCCCGCCTTGGTCTTCGTTCGGGTAGAAGCACTCAACCTCCGCTGGACGTCCCGCAGGCTCGATATACGTGCACGAACAATCCGGGCATGGGCACTTGAAATGCTTGGTCGACTTTCGAACAGGGCCGGGCTGACGAGGCAGGTCCGGGGAATGAATTGGCGCAACGAACGACATGGCGGAGACCGGTGGCCGGCTTTCGGGTTGTTGACCCCGTCTTCTTCGGCGCAGGGTTCTCATTCGGTGCGGCCCTTTTTCTTTTCGGATTCTTCTTCTTCGTTCTGTGCTTGCCAGCACCGAAAATAG